TGCTTCTTTTAGCATCGTCTCCGCTCCCCCCGGAGACCGCCCCATGAAGGCTTCAATCAGTACAAGATTCGGCCACCTTGTGGCGCCCTTCCTGGCTGATGGCAGGATGCCCGGCGGTGCCTACGGAGAAGTAAAACGCTCCCTCCGTGGGGAGATAGCCTCCCGTGTTGCCTCGACGGCCGGTAGCAACGCTATCCTCTCAACCCCTCGACCACCGATTGCAGCAGAAGAGGCCTCGCTCCCTCGTCCTTACCGCTCAGCGCTATCCCAGCTACGCTCGGGATACTGCAGCTCCCTTGCGTTCTACACCCACAGAGTCGGACGCTCCCTTAGCGCCGCTTGCCTGCCCGGAGTGCGGGGATCCCCTCCAATCCGTCCAGCACCTCTTTGCCTGCCCCGCCTTCCCCACGTCCCTCAGCGTCTCATCTTTGTGGGACAACCCCGTGGAGGCGTCGACGTTCCTGGTCACCCTCCCTGCTTTCGCCCATCTTCCCCCTCTTTCGGTGCCCCCCCTCCAACCACCACCAGAGCCTCCGCCCACGCGAGCGTGACGTTCGGCGCAAGAAACAACAACAAGTGAGCCGACCCTAGGAGGCATCTTGGCCGCGGAGGCCAAACAGCACGTCCCTTCCGTATTACGGAAGTACTCAGTCGTCTTTAGCACCCGGTTGCTAATCGAGCAACGGGAAGGAATCATGGCGCATAACTATTACAATTGCAGGCTTCCAGAAATCAACTTTGTAATCTTTATTTCTCCTTCACCCACCGATGCAATGGAACTTCTTTTAGCCACACCTCCCAGCGCAAGATATCTATCGCCTTATGCAAAATCTTCATTTCCCAAAATCTTCATTTCCTTCGCTTCCAACACTCAAAGCCTATCCACCCGTCGTCTCATGCGTCTGAATTGGGCCGAACATCTCGACATAGTAAAGCTCGCCATTGGAGCAGCCAGCAACTTATCCGCCCGAGCTCAGACAGCCTCATGGTCCTCCACTTCAAGCATCTTCGCCCCTATGGGATACAATTCTTTACTTGCCTCTATAAATTTTTTTTCATGGACTTTATGCCAGCTATCTGGAAAAATTTCAATAATTTTGCCCATCCTTAAGACCCTTAACCTGGTGTCAGGGTTCTCCCCGCCACGTCTTCCTCATCTGTCCAGCAGGCAAGATCCCGGAACGACTCCTACTCCCGCACATCTGGGCTTCCCTTGCGACCCATGTTTTGTTTGTGTGATCAATCATTGTTAATTCTTACATAATTTTCGTTTAAGTTGCATTTCCGATCTTTCTTTACTTAGGAGTGAGCCGAATCGAGTTTAACTCCTCGGGCTTTGACTTATCTGTGACTTGACCTCCTTCACTCTATAGAGCTTTTGCTTATTACCGCAATGTATATTCCCAACCTTTTGGAAGAGCCTAGTAATTTTTAAGTTGAATTACTTGAAAAAATTACGGCTTAAAAACTTGTGGGAAAAGCTTGGATGACGGGTGCGGGCTGTAATGTGTCCACTCTTCTAACACATATAATTTGTTTATTTATATTTCCCTCTTGTTTAACGATGTGTAAACTTCTAAATAAAAGTTCAATTCGTTTCTGATCCTTTAATGCTCCGCTTGAGTGTGAATTTATGCTACGGCTAAAACGATCAAAACAGACGACATATTCTAATGAATTTCTACTAAAAGTCTCGACTTTAAAAATTGAATAAATCCTCGTATTACTTTTAGACGTTTGCAAGCTCGTCTTGTCTTTCATTTGTCATACTGTAGGCCGGCATTATGTTTCTACAGTCAGTGCCTTTTTACACTAGGAACAACGATATGGACGATGAGGCTCGTGTCAAGCGCTTACTGCAAGAGACTGGCGCCCTCAACCGTTCGCACGTATTTCTGTATGCGATACCTCGCGACCGCGCTCTACGAAGATTAGTTGCTATATAGACGTCAATGAGAATGGATGGATGAATACTAATTCGAGCTTTGGCCCATTGTTCTCGGGTGTGCTGCTGTGAAGATGTAGGCGTTGTCGTAATACAACTCATCCAGAAGAAGGATGATGGAATGGCGAACGCAACGTATGAATTTTCTTACGAACCTCTGCAATGTTGACCTATACTCGAGTTCCTTAAAACTTCAACTTATGCATTTCGATTTTTATACTCCTTTGACTGCACTTTACAAAGTCATTCATGGTATCTATGAAGATGAATTAGCCTCTTCACTGGAGAACGAGTCGTAACGAGTGTGGAGTTAGTTGATGCCCCTGTGTTGCCCCTAGTGTAAACGGCCTTAACTAACCCGCTTCGGCACGTCGTATACATCTTAAACTATATAGATGTAATCCAGAATAAATCTCGCCTCTGACCTCGGTGGCTTTAGACAGAGTTTGTGCGGTGCCCATATTCATATTTGCATAGTGACCCAAATAAAAAATATACCAAATTTGACGAACATTAAATTTATTTTCTGTGACAAACCAAACGCGTAAGGGATACCTCAAGAAAAGAACATTTTAATAATAGTGACAAACCCTAAATAACAATATTCGTTACTTCCTTTTTGAAACATCAAATGAAAACATCAGGGCCATTTACTACCCACAAGCAAACGAATAGTGGTTAAGTGGCAGATGTACGGGTCCATAATATTATGGTGCCAAATAACATCAAGAGTATGAAATGATTAAATCAAATACTTCATTAAGTCAACACATGCGAATTTTGATTAAACATTTAAGCCTGTTTGTTAACTAGTAAATCTCGTCGGTTAGTTTCTTTCCTATACTCAGCTACACTTTTCCTTTACAAAATCTGATACAATTTCTTATAAAATGGCCAGATGCTGTAGAAAAGATAGAAAAAATATACTTTAAGAATCAAAGATAGTACAATATAAATTCACTGCTGAGTTCCCAAAATATCCTAGGGCATCACTCGAAAACACAGCCATCCTACACAAAACCAAATTCTTTATTTCTGTAAATCCTATCTTCCCCTCCTCATTGATGCTCTAGATGACATGTACGAGGCTCCAAATGTTGCCGGCCTGCGTGCGGTTGGAGTGCGTCCCATCATGGGACCAAATCGGCAATCACCAAATCCCCCCCTCCCGAAAGGGAGGCCCAGAGCCTGTTTTTTTGGCTGCGCCGGCGCACGGACCCCCGTGTGTTGCTGGCGGTGTTGCTGCTGAGATCGGGGGATGTTGAAGCTAACCCGGGACCGGTGTGGGTGTGTCAGATCTGTGGCCGCCGAATCACTAAGGCACAGACGTCTTTCCGATGTAATTCACGATCACTACACTGGGTTCATGAAAAATGCACCACAATCAAAACAGCAGATTACAATAACAACTGGACCTGCAGTCTTCACACAGCACCCCCAAGTACCATAAACCCACATATTCAACAAAACTTACCCCAGCAACACAACCCAGCACTACCACCCCAAAGACCCACTCAACAACCACAGTCATTAGTTCCACCAAACCCTCCAAACCAAAACCAAAACAAACCACAACTACAACCAAAAAACAGAGGAAACAGCCGAAACACTCTTAAAGTTCTCCAAATAAACATAAACACACTCTCAAACAAAATAGATGAACTAGCCCTACTTGCCAAACAACAACAAGTAGATATCACTGTACAAGAAACAAAACTCAAGCCCATAACAAAAACTCCAACAATTGCAGGTTTCACAACAATCAGACAAGACAGAACGCACAAATATGGTGGCGGTCTACTAACTTACATCAAAGACAACATCACCTTTTCTGCCATTCAAATCCCACCTAACATAAACCAAGCTGCTACAGAACTCCAAATTTCTCAAGTCCACTTATCCAATAACAAGTCCATTTACATAGCCAACCTATACATCCCTCCCAGAGACACCAATCACCCACTACACAACCAAATAGATCAACTCATTACCGAATGCTTAATCCACATCACCAATAAACCAAACACAATCATCACAGGAGACATTAACGCCCACCACAACTCCTGGCACTCACCTTACAATGGCCACAGAGGCAAACTAATAGAAGACATCATACAGAACTCTAACCACATCATCCTCAACCAAAACTCACCTACTCGTCTACCCACCACAAACAATCAACAACCTACCTCTCCTGACATCTCCACAGCCTCTGACACTATAGCAAACAACATTACCTGGACTACACTGACAGAACTTTCATCAGACCACCTGCCTATACTACTAGACTATAGAACAAAAACAAACTTCCGACTACAACACCAAACAAAAAAATACACTAACTACCACAAAGCTGACTGGGCCTCCTTCTCAACTGAAATAGAATCGGCACTAGAAAACGTAGCAGACCCAACTGACATACACGTCGCAAATAAAACCCTCAGAAACATCATAATCCAAGCGGACAAACACAACATTCCCAAAGGCAAAATAAAAACAAATCAACCACCTCTTCCAGACGACACTAGAGCTCTCATAACTCAAAAAAATCAAATCAGAACTGCAAATCACACAGACCCGCAGCTACAGCAGTTAAACAGAGAAATTGATAGAGCTATACAAGACCATAAAACAAACATCTGGAGAGAACACTTGGACCAACATTGGGACAACAAACACAATAGCCATATACTCTGGAAAACGATACATCAACTATCAAACAAAACCATTCCCACTCAACCAAACAAATCCATTAGTTTCCCAAACAAAACAGCACACAAACAAAACAGCACAGCACAGGAATGGGTGTAGGCCCCGTCCCGCACTTGTCGCGGGACGGGGAGGGCGAACAACAACAACATGTACGAGTGGCGAAACTTGCACTGGAGCTCAACGGTGTGTTTTGCCTCCTTGCTACAAGCTGGGCAACTGGAGACGCCACGCACGCTGTCGCATGCCCGTCACGAGTGTCCTCAAAGTGTTGTAGCTACCTCCCGCCTGGTATGTTGGGTCCCATGTACTGAAAAATGGCAATGGCGTTCTATTAAACGGTTTCATTAAATATGTCAATACCTGCAAAAAAATTATCAGCTTGGGACACATAATTCTTATTCAGTTTTATTTTTATAAAGATGATCAAACAATAGTTACCTTTCTGGTAAACTTTTACCGAAAATTAAGAGATAACGAAATTGCCGAGTCACTATCAGAAAGTTTGCCTAATTTAATACGTGCGCCTAATTTTAATTTACAACAATAAAGAATTTACCTTGTTCATGAAGACGCGCGCTTGCATTCGACACGTTTTATGTGTGTTGTAGATCTTGGTTCGTAGGAATTCGATCTTTCTCTTATGTTGAAATGGCATCAGTGTTCGAAGCTTGTGTCGTTTAAGAAACGACTCCATTTCGACGGTGCCTGTCATTGAATGAGCAAACACTATCATATGTAAGAATTTATTATAACCTTTAAAGTATCAGAAGGAAGGTGAAATTTTTTAAAATGACATTTTGATGTCGAATTACAATGGATACACGAGATACGTTTCGACGAGTTTCAGGTAAGTTTCATATATACACCTAACAGTTATTTGTCAGGGTCTTTCTATAATGGGCACTCACCAGCTGCTTTGCAACGGTCATTTCGGGACTCTCAGTAGCTAGACTTGGTTTCGAAATATACAAAATAGGATCTAGAACTGCGCAAATGAACGCACTCGTCAGTAATAAATGGCAATGGTTTGAATGACAATGGTTCAATTACAAAAATTAATCACTAAATCATTCACCAGGAAGATGTCCTCTTGCTCCTTCTCCATCTTCGGTGAAGTATTTTTTGAAATAATCCAAGATGATCTTGGTGTCGGCTTCGTTCCATTTGAGGTAACGCCGACCTGCAAACAAAAATTCCGATTAAATTTACGCTAGTAAAGGAGGTAACGATGTCTGACAATACGAATTGTCACCACGTCAGGTACGCAAAGAACGAACACAGAATGCACTTGCACGCAGTGACTTTAACGTGAAGTTTTAAAATATTAAGTACCTACTGAGGACTGAATTATTCAGGTGGAGTTTACGGTGATCAAATCAATGTATATCAAATCGAATTGACAGCGTGTATGAAGGTATATCAAATCAAGTACGTATGTCAAATCAATGAAATTGTAATGGTAATTATTACAGATTTTTGGTGAGGAGCTTATAATAAACGACGAAAGATAACATGAGATTACTCAAGATCACAAACACGCATCAAACGATGAAAACAATGGTATATACAGCAATTTGGGCCTGGTAATGTCAATGAAGGAGAAGAAGATGGGTTTCAAAACACTTACCTGTTGAAGTTCTAGGAGTTGACGAACACGGCTCCTGGAATGTAAAAAGGGTGTAAGAAAGTATTTCTTACTTAAGTCGCTTCTTTAGGGTCAAACTATCAATAACTGATTCTCATACAACAGTAATTGTAATATTCCAACCAGAATTAGTTAGTTTAGTGGCCAAATGTTTACTAGCGCTTCAGCTATTTAGCTATCTCGCACCGAAAGTCAAGATGAACATCACCATAGAGGTGGAACGTCTCAATTATTCATCACCCACAAGGGGCGGAAGGTCTCAGATGTCCAGCCCGCTGAAGCTGGCTCGAAAGAAGCAGCGTTAGCATCTCAAAGAGACGAAAAGACAAGGAGGGACAGGTGAAAAGCAACAGAAACGAAGACACTCGAACAAGAGGTCGCTTACACAGGACGTCGGCCGCCCGCACGAGAGAGACAGAGAAGGGAAATGTAAGGAATCCTACCTACATAATAACTTAACCCCACAACTGAGATCTGCAGTCAGACACCGCGAGCTCAGCGGTGGGGCGCTCAGAAACAATCCCCCTAGGAACGCGAAATCCCATAGGACTTCTGACGCGCACAGACACGCGTAAGAAGTCCCCCTGAGGGGCAACCATAATTAGTACTCGCTAAATATCTCCAGATAACTTCCCTTCAATTGATGGGATTATTAGACGTTCTGGAATACTGTTTGACTCGTGGAAAGTTAAGACGCAGCTTCATTCTTTTCAACGTTAATGCAGCTGTGGACTTTTTTAAATGCATTAATAAGTAAGATACTCACTACAGGTTCACGATCAGAAGCATCATCACTGGACAGAGCCCCAGGTGGTTCCCAGTCTGATTCAGAAGACGCGTGACTGGCAGTCTCCACGTCATCAAATTGCAATCTGTTGGAATATAACAAACACGTTACTACGTGACTTTACTTTACTCTCAATTACATGTTAAATTAGGTACAACAATGCATACTGTTAATATGTATTTTGAAAATTTGTTACCGGTTTATAGTACATTTAATTTCATTTCAACTATTTTCATTATTTTTTGTAACAGAAAAATCCCTTGGGTAAGCTGTAAAAATTACAGTTTATACGTGGCCGATTTTACTGCTATCTCAACTACAGCGGTACACAATACAATCTTATCAGTTGCAATTTCACTAGAATATTTTGAACGTTAGTTGTTATTTGATGATTCAACAACTATAATGAAAGTTATTTGCACATGTTCGGACATGCCTACATTACTCGTTGTCTACAATCATTGTGCTTAATTTACTATTACAATAATAATATACAATTACCTTCTGACGGTAGGACGAGGCCTTTGAATTTTTTTTTTCTCATCCGGAAAACCTAAAAATTACGAGAAATTATCAATATTTTTTATTTTATCATTATTTCATAATCTTAATTTTAGTATTGTTTTAATTTCAACAAGTACCTTTAATGAATAACATACGTAATGAGTATGTCATATTTCTAGAATGCCTTTAATTGGGAATAGCCTATGATCGTCATCAATATGTTCACAATATAAATATTATCTGGTTAATTATTAAAGGGATTTTTCCATTTAACGGTAATTACTGACCTGATAATTTGGTGATGACCTTGCCACCTGCCTGAGGAATCAGTGCCCTGGAGAAAAACATTACATGAATATTAAGGACCTTGCAGATTATTTGAAAAGCAGATTTGTAAGAAAACCAGACAGCAGCAGCACACACAATACTTTAATGAGGCTTCAGCTCTCCCTGAATTCTTATTAAAATTTTATCTTGACATATTAAAAATAATTACCTTTCCAGACATTTTGATTTTTTCTTGGGGTTTAGCCCAGTGATTAAAAACTAGTGACATCCATATAAGAGTAATTTAATTTACACTAAAAGTACTTACTTTATGAAGCAATAGTGAACTATTTTAGTAGAGAATACAATGGAAGCACATATCATCCAATTTTGTAATGTATAACCTTTTATGGTTGTGAGACGTTTCTGAAATACTCAGGCAAACGTCTGCAGGAGCTGCTGATGAAAATGCATCTGTGTCATCACCATGGAGCCCCGAAATTCTGAAGAGAATGCAAGAGGAATTATATATTAGTTTTTTATCAATGGTAAATAAATTCATTGTCAATAGAACATGCAATCACAACACCACATTTCTTTGCTAACAGTCAACAAGTTGTTATGAGAGTTCGCATTTTTAATTTTCAGCCTTTTCGAGAAACATACCATGTGATTATTACTAATGAACCATTTACATTTATTTATTCTTAGTAGGGACACAAGTAGTTTATTTTTTATAACTACATTATAAGGTCTAAGGTCCCCAGGACCTAATAATAATTTAAATATAATTGAACAGACAGATAATACTTAAGTTAGGTGTTAAACTACTACAATGTTTTGTGCATAAAAAGCTGTCAGCAAGAAGCAAAATCGTCAGGAGCATCTATAACTACAAATTTTCAATCAAAAGCAACATATGGAACAGCAATGAAAAAATAGGAAAGCAAATAGAAACAACGATTTCAATTGGCAATAAGATGTTAGAGTTTGCTGGCATATGTTTTTGAAATAAAAATTTTCCCCATGGTACGAACTTAGAGGCCTCTGCTGAAGTGCAAAAACATGACTTTTTGTGTATAATACAGAGAGCGAATGAAATGGTATGACTTAAATGATATTTTGAAATACATTATGCGTGTAGCTTTTACACAAAATGAACGATTTAAGAGTGTGTATCTGAATTCTTAATTCTACTTACAGTCTCTGAACACTAGAACTACCATGCTTAATACATCATATAGAGAAGAACCAGCAATGACTACTTATATACCAGCAATTGAGATACTTGAAATGAAAAAATCAAATTAATGCAACCACTACTATCAATTTTCAACTACCTTGGAGATACTTCAGATTCATCTCGCATGCGACTACAGTTGCCTGAAAAATAATTTGACGATGATAGCATTAAAAAGTAATTTTTCATAAGTTGAACCATATAGAAATGTATAAATATTTATATGTATCACAAACAAGTTCACTTCTGGTGTAGAAGCAGACATGAATATAAAATGATTTATGGTCAATACATATTTATTGTGCAAAAATATGACAAATGGTAAAATTAAGCACATTCACTCATTCAAAATATTTGGGTAATCTAAAGTATTCTAGAAATGGGCAATAATTACCATTGAGCTCAAGATCCGTGTTGCGTAGAAAAGCGCCAACATGTTTGGCAGTGTCTGACGCCCTGGGGCATTGGTAAACTAATTTATTAATGGCCTCCGAGTGCCCCATGTGCTCCAGCCATAAATTAGTTTCACCCCTTGTGTTCTCTTCAGAAGCAAAGGCTCCGGAAAGATAATGGCGCACTTGCGTTCCAGTTACTTTAACCCCCGCTTTTGCCGATGTCACCGCCAATATGTAGGTGCCTTGTACATGGTGATTTGAATTGTGGAAGGATGCAAAGGCGAATTCATTTTCTTCGGAAATTCCAGCAATTTTCCTATGCCTCTTACTGATCAAGAAATTCAAAACTTCTTTCAGTTCTACTGGTAGCAAGACACTAACCAATTTTGTAGTATCCTTGCCGGGAACATAGCACACAAAATGTTGACAAGGACTGCTGCCTTTCTTCATCCACTCGCCATTCAAGGCATCTTGAACATGTGTTACTTTCATCCTACTTACTTCATTGGCTCGCCTTGCATTATATATGAGAAGGCGAGTAAAAACTGCATTTCTAATATCAATGTACCTATTTGGGGGAAAATTTTCTTGTTGAAAATAGTCTATTTCGCGGACAACAAAATTTCTAAGTTGCTGCATAATTTCCGTGCTGATTTGATTTTGTGGTCTCCTCAGAATCTCATAGCGTCTTCTTGTGTTGTGAACCTCTGAGTTCATGTAAACTGTTTTCCATCTCATCGTAAAACAGCTTTGAAATTTTTGCAGTTGAGCAATCATTTGCTCATTATCTTCCATACAATAAAGGCCCAATAGGTCTTTGATGGCGTGACGCAAGTCATATCCAAAAATTACTTTCATTCCATGTTTGACTTCTCCATTTTCCGTCACTAAATTAGTGACTGCATTTTCTACCAAGTTTAAATTTATTTTATTGAAAATGTCTTTTGTTTCTATTTCTTCATTTTTGCATGCAGCAAGGCGCTTGGTCTCAATAGTAATTTTAGCTAAGTTTCGCATGTAAGAACGAATTTTCATACAAGCTTCAAGTGCTTTTTCTTTACTGTACAGTTTTTTGTAGTACTCAAGTCCCAGGCTAATAATTATTGGGTCTGTTTTTGCTAATTCACCAGCTTGATCGTTACGAATTGAAACAAGAACATTCTTAGCAAATTCAGCGGAGACACTGTCATCCTGTCCCAAAATGATGATTGATTTTTGAGGTTTAAGTAATGTACTAGTACATTTATGTCTAGAAAAATACTTCTGGTTGTAGAAGCCCTTGCACGACATGCAAAGGACAGGATGACTGACGCCGGAGGATGATTGCTCGCGTAAGAAGTCTTTGCTCCCAAGCGCAGCCATTTTTTTATTATATTTGAAGATGCCTCTCTTCCTTAATTGAGCTAAATACTTAATTCTCTTTTGAGGAGAATATGTGCTGAGCTGTTGTATTTCTGGTTCATTGGAATGAACATGGGTCATGTGCCGAGGTAACTTGTGAACCTTTTTCTCGCAAAATGGGCAGGGCCTCGGAGGGCTTTTACCCCGCTTCCTCTTCACTTGCACTTTCTCATCAGAGCAATAATCGGTAGACATTTGAAGAAATTCGCCAGCTGGTAACTCAATGATTTCAGTGTCTGATTCCATAGAGATCTGCAGTGGTTCAGCCTTTTTTGGCATGTGAGTATCAGCAGACGGCAAAGTTTGAGTAAGTGTGCATTCAGTGTCTTCATCTGGAAATTTTCTGTTCACTTGCACTTTCTCATGAGAGCAATAATCGGTAGACATTTGAAGAAATTCGACAACTGGTAACTCAATGCTTTGAGTGTCTGATTCCATAGAGATCTGCAGTGGTTCAGCCTGTTTTGGCATGTGAGTATCAGCAGACGGCAAAGCTTGAGTAAGTGTGCATTCATTCTCTTCATCTCGAAATTTATTCAAGACATTTCTTCTGAATTTGAAAGTGATTTTTGGCACAGGTACATTTCTTGACAGCAGTCCATAACCTGTATGAATAGTAAAAGCGGGTTCTTGTGAGGAATAGTTTCACATCACAAATTGCATGAATATGTTTTGAACTAGTACCTGCACAACTTGGAGCAATATATTATACTACCCAACTTCAAGCAGAAAATTCTTCCTGACTACCAATGTCACTGCATGTGTCCTGACTGACAATATGACGGGATAAAATGGAAAATAAATTTGAAATTAACTGCAGGACACATGGTTATGGTCAATTTTATTTTCATGTTAATAAAGCTATATGCTATATATTTATACAGGGTGTCCCAAAAAAATTTCTCAACTTTGAATAGCTGTAACCCTAAAAGTAATAGAGTAAAAAAATTCGGAAGGTCAGGATTTGTTCCCTATGTTTCTCTCCATCTCTTCACCAAAAAACAGACAGATCAAAATAGCCACAAGCGTTTGATAGAACTTTCAGTGACATGTGCTAAAATCATGCTTGCGCCAATTTTTCGTAAGATCATTTTGCATAATCATTACATTGTCTGGACATGTTATCTTTTTGCGGTTTTATTTTTTTTATGTTTGGTAAGACAAAAGCATGGCAATCTTTGGTGAAAGGCAATCATGACAATCTTTGATGAGAGAGACAATCATGACAATTTTTGGTGAGAAAAAACATGACAATCTTTGGTGAGAGACAATCATGACAATCTTTGGTGAGTGAGAGACAATCATGAATATCTTTTGTGAGAGACAATCATGGCAATCCTTGGTGAGAGACAATAATGGCAATCTTTGGTGAAAAAACAATCGTGTAAATCTTTGATGAGACAAAAACATGGCAATATTTGGTGAGAGACAGTCATGAATATCTTTGGTGAGAGACAATCATGGCAATCTTTGATGAGAGACAATCATGGCTATCTTTGGTGAGAGAAAATCAAGACAATCTTTGGTGAGTGAATTTTAAAACCAAAGATTGCCGCTCACCAAAGATTTTCATGATTGTCTCTTATCAAAGATTGCCATGATTGTCTCTCACCAAAGATTGTCATCTTTTTGTCTAAACAAAGATAAAAAAAAATAAAACAGCAAAAATAAAACATGTCAAGACAAGGTAATGATTATGCAAAATGATCTTAGTAAAACTTTGCGCAAGCACGATTTTAGCATGTGTCACTGAAAATTCTTTCAAACGCGCTAAATTGATCTGTCTGATTTTTGTTGGCAAGATGGAGAAAAACATAGGGAACAATTCTTGAACTTCGAAATTTTTTGAACTATTACTTTTCGAGTTACAACCATTCAAAGTTGAGTATGGTTTTTTTGGGACACCCTGTATATTATTATTTTCATGAAATGAATAATCACAATTTGCTAGTCAAAAACAAGGAGACAAATGAGAAATCAATTTTTGTGCAATTCTTATGCAAAAGCAAATGAAACGAAAATCCCTTTATTAATAGGTCATGCTATCTCACCTTG